TATATGGATATAATATTATAAAGCACTCCTTTTTGCGGATTTTATCGTGTTTATTATATATTTTTTGCTTAATGTGCTCTATTTTGTTTTAATTTCTTTTGGGTGCTCCCCACACTATTGTATTGATATATTTTGCTTTGGCTATATGGATATAATATTATAAAGCACTCCTTTTTGCGGATTTTATCGTGTTTATAATATATTTTTTGCTTAATATGCTCGATTTTGTTTTAATTTCTTTTGGGTGCTCCCCACACTGTTGTATTGATATATTTTGCGTTGGCTATATGGATATAATATTATAAAGCACTCCTTTTTGCGGATTTTATCGTGTTTATTATATATTTTTTGCTTAATGTGCTCTATTTTGTTTTAATTTCTTTTGGGTGCTCCCCACACTATTGTATTGATATATTTTGCTTTGGCTATATGGATATAATATTATAAAGCACTCCTTTTTGCGGATTTTATCGTGTTTATAATATATTTTTTGCTTAATATGCTCGATTTTGTTTTAATTTCTTTTGGGTGCTCCCCACACTGTTGTATTGATATATTTTGCGTTGGCTATATGGATATAATATTATAAAGCACTCCTTTTTGCGGATTTTATCGTGTTTATTATATATTTTTTGCTTAATGTGCTCTATTTTGTTTTAATTTCTTTTGGGTGCTCCCCACACTATTGTATTGATATATTTTGCTTTGGCTATATCGATATAATATTATAAAGCACTCCTTTTTTGCGGATTTTATCGTGTGAGCTGATGAAAGAGCTATATATTTTGATTTTCTTTTCCGGCTTTTTAATATATTTTTCTTTTTGTTTTTACTTTTAAATAATTTATTTGAATATTTTTTTTTCTCCTCTTTTCATCAATCTTTAATATTTTCCATGTTTTCTCTATATTTTAAACTTATTTAATGAGTTCTATATACTTGCAGCTTATGAGCAGTAAATTAAACTCATTAATTTTCTTAATTTTCTTCCTTTTTTATCTTTTATCTTTTTATACTTTTTATTTTTATTTTATACATTATGTTTTTGCAATATAAAATATTTAAAATGTCTTTAAACGTAAAAAGAAGTGATATGATGTTAAAAAATAAACTGTAATCTATTTAGAAAATGAAGGCCTGGAGCGTTTAAAAATTCAAGTAGGCGAAAAGTGGAATATTAGCTATTCTATTTGGATTGGAGATGACAAAGTCTTACAAAGAAGTTTAACTCTCAGTGTTCCTGCCAATACTTCATTTTATGGTATTATGGAATATGCCGCTGGTGTCGATGACAAGTATAAGTAAGTTCGTTTAGGTGTTTTTAAAAGACGAATTTAATAATGTTCGAGACTTTATTGCTGGTATTAAAAGAGCAACACTAAAGGTTTTGACACGCATTTCAACTGTTAAAAAAATGAAAAGAAAAAGTTAAAAGAGAGTTTCGCAAGAAATCAGGTAGATCAAGTTTATGGAATTATACTAAAAAAAGCTGAATAATTTAAAGTTGAATTTTTGTTTACTCAGCTATATTCTCCTAACTTATCACCTAAATAAGTACATCTATTTACACACATGGACACCTTAGTTTAAATTCATTTACCTCATTTTAACACAACAGAAGGGATCATGTACTCCCTCTAACTCCGCTTTGATCTTTTTTTTTTCGGGAAGAAGTGGGAGTTCTAAACCTCTTACATGGAAATATTTAGTAACCGCACGAAACTCTTTTCGTTCCATTTTCCTAAATAAATTAAGTTGTTTTCTTCTTCAATTATTAGTTTCATGTTAATTTTATGCTTCATAACAACTATTATCGAAAATTTTATTTAAATAGGTTAAGTATTAGATTTTAAATCGCAATTTAATAATTTAGTAACTAATTTGAGAAGCTAGCCCAGGGGTTTCCGACTTACATGAGGCCGGGGGCCACATTCAAAAACACAAAGCAAATGGCGGGTTGCAACTTTATCAAAATTTATGTAGGGCTCTTTTATGTTTGAAAGAACATTAGATATTAATATCAGATTTTGTACTATCAGAAGTTGTACAAAATAAAAGTATTGAATTACAAATTAAAATAAGAAGTAGATTTTTAAAAATATTTAATTGTTATTAATAATATTTTTAAAAATATTAAATTAATAATAAAAATTCGGGCTACAATACTTTTAATGCGCAAATATGTATTAAACAATTAATGTGAAACAGATATCTAATTGTTAAAATATAAAACTTTAAAAACGTTGGTATTTAGCACACAAAATATTCAATGGGAAAATTGTGGTTTGTCTGCCGCAACCACCAGAGAATAGATATTTACATTTTAAATTTAAAATTTACAAATGTGTGTGTAAATACTTTCGTCCGAAATGAGTAGTTTTACAAAAGTTAAATCGGAGAATATCTTCGAGAAAAATTCTGATGCGCACATGCTAAATTATCTTAACAAAATACAAAAAAAAATTAAATAAAAAAGAGTAACATACACGATTATTTTTGCATTTGAATAAATATTTTCTTGGATGCAAAACCTGAGAAATAAATTTTTTTGCACCGCTGGATTGTTAAATTTTACAGAAACGAAGAAATTAGGTTTTTATTAACGAGAAAAGTAATTTTAAACCCATATAGATTTTTTACGAAAATTGTCCACAAAAAAAATGACAACTAATATTTTTTAGTTCGCGGGCCACAAAAAAAGGCTTCGCAGGCTGGATGTTGTCCCCGGGCCGCCAATTGGAAACCCCTGTAGCCAAATCATTAAATTACTATAAAACAGATGTTTAGATGCGAATGCAATTTTGGACAATAATTATTAGAAAGCGTAAAATTAATATGAAATTAAGATCATTTAGATAAATGAAAGTACCTGCTTAAAGACAAGCGTAAAAACAGTAAATGGACCTAAAAGGCGGACGATGACATTTCCGTTCATGGGTTCTTGTGCAGTTCTTAATCCTTATAATGTGCTTTACCTCTCTTTTAAGTTAGCCCCATGATTTTAGAAATTTGCCTGCATGTGAAAAATATTTTTACATATATATTTAACAGTTTTAACGTAAGAATACTTTTTTTCCAGATTTGAGTACAATGTTAGGAGTAGAAAACCATATATATTCGCTCTATCGGGTATAATGGATGATCCTGAAATGGAGACTTTCTGGCACACATACTATCTATTCAGCAATTTATCCAAAATTTCACTCATATCAAGAAGTAAGACTTCTCCTTCATTTGATTTTCATCTTATGTCGACAATTATTTATCTGTCTAAATTGGCATTTCTGTGGATAGTGCTTTCAATATAAATCTAAACAACAACAATGCCCATCTGCTCTACTTCCGGAGAGAAAGGATACAGCTGCTTACTACAACTTATTTCGTGATGCAATATTTTGAAACAGATAATTTTATTTTTAATAATAGAAACAAATTATATAATTTCTGAATTCAAAACTCGCTTTTTTTGGCAGTTCCGATTTGGCCTCTTTTTACTTGTTATTACTAATTGTTCTTGGTGCAAGCCGGGCATCGACATCATATGTTAGCGTTAGCACATTGTTCGAGCAACGAGATTAAGTTCATTTTACAAATTATCATTTAGGTTTAAATTTCAAAGTTGGTATATTGTTAACAACGTAAAAAGTGTTTTAAAACGAAGTTTTTTTTTTTTTTTTTTTTTATGACAATTCTTACGTGATGAAATGAAAGGTCTTCAAATGATTCTTCTAACGATTTTTCTTTTAAACACAAATAATAAATCAGGTAAAAAATACACGTATGCAAGAAATATTACTCTAGAAAGACTAAAAACATAATTATCACGTTATGAGCAAATGGGTTCAAAGCACACCAAAAGCAGTAACCCGGAAGTATAGGCAGTCAAGAGCTTGCCGCGCTCCCTAATGTAATGTAAAAGACCTTGTAAAATGAAAAATTAAGAACGTTAAGACGAAGATAAGATCATTAAGAAGAAGGTAAGAACGTTAAGAAAAGTTGGAATTTTCATAATTTGTGTGACATAAAATGCATTTTAAAGTGCTTGTATTTTTGTATAAAGTGATGTCATTCCACTGTAGTTTTCTAAGATAAAATACAAATAACATATATTTAAACCTGTGGTGTTATAAAGGGTGTTGCATAAAGTTGCCTTCATGTGTGTTTTTTTAAATCCTTACCAAAAAATGAAAAAAATAATGAAAGTAAGTTGGGTTCACAAATTAGTATTTAAGGTGGGAAAAAGCAAAAACGATGTCAAAATTTGAAAAATCATACAACAGTAGAGTGGAAGAAATAAACAGCAAGACTAGTTTGATTGCTGGAAGAAACAGAACGGAATTGAAAAATTATTATTAGAAACACATTTTATCTTAAATGCTCAAATAAATCAGCTTGGGTGTTTGTTACATTTGCTTTCCTCTACTGTAATTTAAAAATTTCTATAGCATTTCAGCATAAATATTAATCCTCAACCCCCAATGTGTTTACTTTTTGCTTTCATTTTTAAGTATTCTAGATCTACATATTATGGGCAGTCATTTCTGAACATCCTGTTTAGTCTAAAGAAACAATAAAAATCAATGTTGGGACAAAGTCCCAAAAGATACTTAGAAATGATATTCTGTTTTCTATCATTAGTGGTCACATAAATTTGAGGTTAAATTAATCTAATGACATTATACACTGGTTATCATAAATTAAGGAAAATTCACAAAAATCGCGATAACTCAAGAAATTACACATGGAATTTTATGAAACTTACCCACAATATACAACACATAGTAAGGTATTAAACAACATAAAAAGAAATTATCAGACATTAATAGTAGTATAGAAATTAGCACATGTATAAAATAAACAAATTGGAAGTATCGGTTTGCAATAGAAAAAGTACCTTTAATATGGAATATGATTGCCTCTAGAAGCAATACAGCACAAACAGCGATGTGTGATGCTTTCAATTATGCGGTCTATCAGTTCAATAGGAAGTGAGAGCCATTGCTCTTGTAAAGCAGTTGCAAGCGTGGCAAGGGTCTGAGGGGGCGGATTGATGGCAGATACACGCCTCCCTAGAGCATCCCAAACGTGCTCGATAGGATTCAAGTCCGGGGATCGAGCTGGCCACTCCATGCGAGTAATTGTTTCCTGTTGAAGATAATCATCAACAATGCGAGCTCTGTGTGGTCTTGCATTATCGTCCTGTAACAGGAAGCAATCACCAATTGCCCCGGCATATGGGCGCACATAAGCATCAAGGATGTTGTCTCGATAAACCTGAGCATTCACGGTTCCCCTTGGAAAGACATGGAGGTATGTGCGCCCTCCTAAGGATATGCCTCCCCAAACACAGACACTGCCTCTTCCGTATGCATCTCTTTCACGGATGTTTGATGGATGATAACGGGTCCCAGGTTCTCTCCATATCAAATAACGTCTACTGTCACTTTCTAGACTAAACCTGGACTCATCCGTAAAGAGAACAGGCCTCCATTGATCTGACGTCCAGTGGACATGTTGTCGGGCCCACTGCAAACGGTCTCTCCTATGGCGTGATGTGAGCGGCACGCAAATGGCTGGTCGTCTCGCATACAGACCACCTTCGTGGAGCCTTCTGCGCACAGTTGACGTTGACACCAACCTTCCGGTGGCTGCAGCAAGAGAGGATCTAAGATGTGTCGGAGTAGCGGTTCTATTCCTGCGTGCACTTAATGTCAAATATCGGTCATCGGCACTGGTCGTAACAGTTGGCCGTCCTTGACTGAACCTCCTAGATGCCGAATCTGTGGTTTGAAATTGCCTCCAAAGTCTATGAACCACAGATGGACTCACATTTAGCCATCTGGCCACTTCTGATTGACTCTGCCCTGCCTCTAGTCTCCCGATGGCTCTCCATCGTAGTTCTTCAGGCAAATGATGCCTAGAGGTCATTATTACGAATTGGCTATCTCAGATTTTCAATGTCGCAATCACAGTAAAATTTGTGTGCTTTCTCTCAAACTTGGACTTTTATGCTCCAGGCAGATGACGTAAGCCGAGTGCAGCGCCACTAATTTGCATATTGCAATTTTACTCAGCTACTCTTAGTGGACAACATATGCAAATTTTGCACGGTTTGGCTTACTTTTGAAAGAGTTATCGCTATTTTTGTGATTTTTCCTTAATTTATGATAACCAGTGTATTAATAAAAATTACAATGTTCCCACATTGAAAGTTGTACTTTTTTTTAAAAAAAAAGAATAGCAATGGAATTTAGAATTATATCATTTAGTCGGTTTGCAGTCAGTTTTACAATTGTAATAAAATGGCACTTTAAAAAACTTTATCCAACTAAATACAATTTAGAGTAAAATTCTAGTATAACGCTTTAAAAAAATCTACATTCAAGTAAAAAAAATGAAATATTCAGTCACACTATAATTCCTTTTATTTTATTTTATGTTCTAAAAATTATGAATATGATGATAGTATAGTTAGTACGTTAATTTTAGTTTTATATTTAAACTAGCTGAATACACGTTCTTCGCACGAGGTGAACAAAAAAAAAATAATCACGAAATCAGTACCAAGAAACGCAACGCAATCATGCTCAAAAATGAAAGGCATATACGGACACAATTTAAGATCTTGATGTCATTTAGGTGAAATGGCATTTCACCCAAATGAAAAGGGCGAATGACATTTTTCAATGAAAAGAGTGAATGACATTTTTAGGGAAATTAATTAATTAGAGAAAATAACATAAAGTGGTTGCGTCAATATGGGTATGTTTAATATAACAGAACTGATCTTAACATAACTAATCCATATTACTTTTTCGTATGTTTGCATGATTTTTATTTCAAATTATTCATTGGAAAATAAAATAAAGAAGAAAATAAAATAAAGCCCTAATTCTAATAAATTGATAATAAAATAATTCAGATACATTTTCTTTTTTCGTTCTAAAAATGTTACTTACCTAAGTTTTCCACTAAAATTTTCAGTTAATACGGCTAAAATAATTTCATTTTTTTAACAATATATGTTGTAATCTTCATTGCCTTTACGTTATTGATGTAAGAAAAGCTCGTTGTTTGTAATTTATACCATTGGAATAAGGATAAAATATATTAATCTAGCGGCCAGTTCATGATAGTTAAAATTTACCACTATTAAGTGATTTTCTCAGGTACATATCTTTTTCGAGGGGCCGTAAAACATTTAATTCCGAAGTATCGATATCAAAATTGCTTAGTATTGGTTCATTTTTAATAATCACGGAATATATCAATATAATATTTTATACCAATATTAGTATATTTGGTAGGTATTTATTACATATCCCTTCATCATTTGAGTTTATATATATTTGTCAATGCAAGCCAACTAAAGCCGAATTTTTTTTTTTCAAAATATATAAAACTTCATAAGAATTTTGAGGCATGACCATTTGTCTATCTGACCTTTAATTTACTGTTGAAATATTTATAAGTACTGGTGGAAAAAAGTTATTTTAATTCTAATTCATTAATGTATTAATACACTATATTAGCTACGACTGGAAAAATAATTTCTAAAACTATGGAAAACCCGTTGTAAAATTCATGTAAAAGACCGATTCGCCGATTACCATAGTACCAGAAGTGCATATTACCGTCAGTGATACATATTAATTAACCGTCATTTGTGAATGGCGATTTTTTACGGCTTTCTTAAAAGAATTTCCCATTAATCTTTCCACCATGAGCTTGGTTTTTTGCACATTATTTTATTTTATTTCAATTAATACACATTATTAATATTAATAGAGCATTAGTGTCAATAATTATATGCAGATCTTTTATGGCTACCCAACACGCGAATAAGTATCTTATTTCCTTATTTTTGATTTCTAGTTTCAAAGTTACTTTTTTTACTTCAATTAATACACATTACCAACATTAATTAAGCATTAATGTCGTCAATGAAAGTATGATGATTTCTAACGTTTCTTCTAGACAAATAAATATCTTTACTCCATTACTTTGGCTTTCTAGTACAATATACATATATTACCTTGATTAACGAAGCATCATTAGCGTAATTAAGCCTCATTGGTGTCAATTTTTTTATGTCTCTCCTAAACGAATTAATACCACTTTTTCAATAATTTTGCTTTAGAATGAATAAATATTTTTTTCTGTTCCATCACGGCTGGTTTTAAATAAGTAATGTTTTAGAAACCCGTTTAAAAATATTAATATAAATAAAATAAATGTTCATTGCATCAGATAAAATATAAATTTGGTGGTGTAAACCACACGTGCTATCACGTATTGTTCATTAGTTTATCTGACATAGCGAATATAAAATAATTAAATACGTGTAATAAACTATTTTTTGTTCAAATAGAGCTATAAGTTAGCAATTATCCCTGATGTTATCTTTAAAATATGTGAAAAATTGAATCTTTTCATTTAAAGCAATGGCTAACACACAACCAATCATAAAATTCCATTTCGTTTTTCGCTCATCCCTCTCGAACGGTTTTTCGCAGAATGTTCTAATATCGACAGTGATCTTCCTCGTGCTTTGAACTAATTGTATGCCAAATTTCATCGCTTTCTGTAGGATGGTTTAGGAGTCTATTAAGAACACACACACAGACATTAATTTTTATATAAAGATACTAGGGGGCTAAGCCTCCTGTTCGCTACCGCTCACCAATCCCGATGATTGCTTCGCAATAATTGTTTTTTCTAATCAGAAAATAGTTTTTCTTCTAAAGTTAAAATTATTCACTTAACATATATGTACTGAAAGGAATTCTGTTTGTTTACGCTTGCGCCTCTACTTCCCACGTCCAAATACTACTATCAGTCAGCATTATAAACATTTATATCTCTTGGTGAACAGAAGTGATTTTTCGAAGTAGTCATTTTCTAAAATAATATTTATATTCTTACAACATTATGTTGTTCAAATAAATTTCATGAGTTCGCAACCATGATTTAAAATTTTCGCTAATAATAGCAGTACTGGAAAATAACTTTACATTAGGGATACAAAAATATTTAAAGAAAAACAATATCTTTACGACTTTTGTTAATTTTATGCTGATGACAACCAAAACAATTAGAAATAAATGAGGGAAAACTGAATCCCACCACGTGATTTTCCAGCCAATAAAAATGTTCCGACAACAATGGAAAACGGTATCAAACCATTATGATTTTATGTTATATAGAGATATGGATGGTATCCTTCCGCCTTATTTTTTTTTACAGGATTTAGAAAGCGAATGTGAATTGACATTATAAAATACACAAATTTCTTAACGAGATTCAATTAGGAAGAAATGCAAAATGATTTTTTATATCATTATTCTCTCATAAATATGATATTTTTTCATAAAATTGTAATTTTAAAAAAAAAAAAAAATATATATATAGGAACATTTCACTGAATTAATGAGAAAGAAATTAAATTTTTGAAAACTGCAAAGAAAGTCAATTTTCTTTAGTATTTTTCAATTTCAGGGGTGATAATTTGTTTATACATATACTTAATATATTTCTTTTTTAAAGAAATTCATAATTAGTTTTATTTCCAGTGTAATAATTATTATAATACACGAATTAATTTGCGGAATATATTTTCGAAATTAAGTAATAAACGTTTAAAAAATATTTTATTACAAATATTTAACTAAAAAAAACATAATATAGTTTATTATGTTTTTTTTATTGTTAACTTTATTGTTGCTTTATTAGTTAAACATTATTTTAATTTTTTATTATGCTTTTACAGGTCCAGCCGATGTGATACCGAAGAACAATGAACACATGTTATTTTGGTATAGAAAAGTAGACTGATTTTAAGAGTAACTGGCATTGATGAACTTAAATGAACTATTTAATCGACTGTGGATAATGAATTATTTAATCCTTGATGGATAATGATATTTTTAATAAAATAGCTTTGGCTTTTGATTGAGATCAAAGTGTAGTTAAATGAACAATAATTGTATTATAAATAAGAAAAAAAGTATTTAAAATTATGCTTTTTTCTCATTGTTGTATTGCTTTTTTATGTAAGTCAATAACTCATTTTGTTAGAGTGTAAACCTGTTTGTTCATTGTTTTCCATGGTAATTAATAAAAATGGAGCTGATACTTTTTAAAATATTAGTTTGATATTTGAACTATAAGACAGAGTTTAAATTTAAAAAGTTTGGTTTGATTTTATTTGCTTAGGAACTTAAATAGGAAGTAAAATCAATCCCCAATTGCATTTCCAGATAAGCATTTGTCTTAATTGACAAGATAGAATAGAATAATATTTTAATAGCATAAATATTGATGATGACTACATAAAGCCAATATCAAAGTATAAAAAACTCGATCGTGCTAGAAGTTTTTACTTGATTCAAAAACGTAAATGAGAACAAAAAGGAAAACCGTAACAGACGATAAATATGAAACCTTAAGGTTAGAAAAAAAATCTTCTGAAAAGTCAATTTACTGAAAGATTCTTTTGCGTGCATTACCACTTAATAAAATATTAAATCTAGTTTTCCTGTGTTAAAAAAAATCTCTATGATTTAAAAATATACGAAATCTCATTGATTATATTGAGGTATTTAAACAGTTGTCAGTTTTAGTTTAAAAAAACATAAAGTAAATTAAAACATTGGTAGGAGCACACGTCCTAAATTTTTTTACCTAATTATGTAAAATGAAGTCGAATGTTTTTGAACTTGGCATTTTAATTTGAGACACTAAATCTCAACATAATATATTTTTGATCCTCAAAATATGGGAGGTAGCCGAAATTTGGAATGTATTGCTCCAATAGTCTGTCAAAAATTGAACTCCTTTGTGTTAATTTCGCTTGTGAGTATTTTACCATCTCAAAGAAGTTGTAACTTCAAATTTTTATTTCTCAATAACTAATAGACCAATTCCCTCAAATTATATTATGGATATTACAATTTAAAATAGTTTAAATTAAATTGCTGTACAAACATGCAGACCTTAGAGCTCAAAATGAAATGATCAGTAATAAACTATACAATAGAAACAATGATTTGAAAACTGATATTCTCTGCTGTTATAATTTAATCAAAGATTTCATTGACTTACTTTCTTTAGTTTCAGTCACTGAATTTTTTTTTCTGTAGAGATTACTAAATAACAAATTCTGATTAACATTATAAGCAAATATATTAATTGACATTATCCGAATAAATTCAAAATTTGATAAAAGAATATATACAAGGAAGAGGCTAAAGCAACCCCTGAACAGAGGCTGAATTTGTTTCTTCCTGGTGGTAAAGTAATAAAAAATTACAACATAAACGAAGTAATAAGCTGCAAAAATAAGTTCTCTAAATTGCAAAAGCCTAACTAATGATGATCAAACCACGAGGAGCTATATAATCCAGTTTAAGTCATTTTTCATTCTGTTGAGAACGGAAAAAAAACGGCAATATATTTCGATACATTTTTAAACTTAAATGAGGAAAGAAATGGAATTTCATGTGTGATCCTAAAATGTGTAAAGTGATGTGATCCTTGTATGGAAGAAATGTTATCATTTCTTTCATTCAGAGCTTTTTTTGAATCATAATATACAACCCAGCAAAAGTGGCAATTATTAAAAAAATAATAAATATATGTATATAATATAAATGTAGTTTTATAATTATAGTGACCAGTCCTCATAAACATTACAGATATAATTTTTATTCAAATCAAATAATATCTTCTGTCAGAAATATTACTTCAAAATTTCGTTATTTTCGAATAAAATCCCCAATATTGCGACTAATTTTGGTTAGCTTAAAACAGTCATATTTTTGGATTAGGAAATGCCTACTGCACTAAAAAACAAACTTTTAATTCTCGAAATGTGAATGAAATGTTCGTTAGAACAGTGGTCCCCATCTCTGTTACGGAATCGATCTTCTTTTGGCTGAACCCCGACTTCATAAATATATTTCATAAGCAACGGTTAATATACTAATAAAAAAAAAAGACTGCGAGTAAAATTAGAGTAAATTTTTTCTTTGTTTTGTCATAAAGAGTCTAAAAGCCTGATTTTAATATTAAGCAGCTGAATTCACAGGTCTGCAGTGGTTCTCAGTTTTATAGTTTCTGTAGTGTGCGTAAGCTAAATTATGGTTTTTAGAAAAGAATTACAATAAGCTGAAAGAATGGTCATCAGCGAAAAATATTTCTTTATTCTTGAATTTGGCTATTTTATTTTAAGTTTGATGTTAAATTCTGAGGCAATTATTTCTAAATCCTTATTTTTTGTAATTCCTTCACGTTTTCACATTTTCTTGCAGTAATATATTGTTATTAGAAAGAATATATATTTATTTAAATTTTGCTATTTCTTTTTTTATTGGCTTTTTACTTAAATAATGTCATCAAATTCAGAAAATATTAAATAAATAATGGATTATTAAATGAGTAAAAACAATGTTAGAGATCCCAAAAATCATAAGTAGTTCGCAAAAGAAATCCTAACTCATGGAACCGAAGGAATATTGTTTCAAATATTATATTTTTGAAATATTGATTTTAGAAAGTTATTTGGGTTTTTCCAAGGTCAAGTGCGCAAAAAGATAAGCATGTGACGTGCTTAGATAATCAGTATTTTAAAGGCAATAAAATTTCTTTTTCATTAAAAGTAAGAGAGTCAATTATATTGGATGGAATAGTATCGTATTGTGCTGTCGTTTAGCATAATTTCTAATATTTCATTTATTATTTTACTTTATCTATAGTAAAATGAAGAAGTTAATATTAATAGCAGTTTTCTTAATAGCATTATGCACCGTTAATTCGAGTAAGTAAAGTTCAACTTTCTCCATTACATTTTACTTCAATTATTTTTAAAATGTCAGTGAAAAATTAAATCTGCTAAAATTTTAAATCTTCTCTTATTTTAAACCAGTAAGACATTTTTGTTGATACTTGTGTCATTATAAAGACCGAATTTTCATGACACTTACATATTATTGTTATTTTATTAATATTATCTTTAATTTTGCATTCTTGGATAAATTTTTTCTCTTTTATAGTGCCTTTTTTAAATACTGTAGGACACTTTTTCAGATTGTTAGGATATTTTTCATCTTTTAGTTCATATTTTCTTTTGAATTTTAGAGCATTTCTTGTACATTTTTCTGTGGTATTTTGTAAATCTATACATGAAACTTTTTAATAATTTAACTTTTTCTTTTGTACATCTTTTAATGAATTTATATATTAACTAATAAAAGTATCAATACAGTTTTCCTCTCGTTTGCTGCCTTTTGTAATCTATGGATAAGATTAAGGAGTGTCGTTTTAAGACTGAAAGCCTTGTTTATAAGGGATTTTTAACTTTAAGGAGACTTTTTTAATAATTTTAAAGTCATGTTCGGAATCATTTAGATCATCAACATCTAAGAATGCTTCCCACTTAAATAAAGCTACCTTTATTTTGTGCTATAACTGAAAGCTAAGAAAACCTATGAGAATCTAACATATATATTAAGGAAGTCGTATAAACCACATATTTACAAGGAGTAACTCTTCAGCTCCAGTTGTATCTGGATAAGGAAAAAATATCGAATAAATAAAAAAGGAGGAAATAATGGGTCCTATCGATCGAAAAAAGCCACTTCCGATTACTGGTAATATATACGTCATGTTTATATTTCAATTGAAATGTACGTTGTTGCGTAGTAGTGACTAAACCATGAAGGTCAATATTATCAATAATATGTCAGGTTTCAATGGTGTCAAATTTCAATTCTGCCACTGACTAAAACAGCTTCTTCTTCTTCTTCTTCTTCTTCTTTTTTTTTTTTTTTTTTTTTTTTTTTTTTTTTTTTTTTTTTTTTTTTTTTTTATATGCAGTCTTACTAAAGATAGCCCTTTAAGTTTTCTTGGAGATTGCGGACATGATAAAGGGCAGGCTATTCATGATATGCACTCTATTATCGAAAAGCAACCACTTTGAAGATTTTTCAATTAAAATGACGACAGTCTCTTGCTGAAGATTGCTACTTGGGTCAATAATTCTCCCTTCAAATGCCAGTAAATGGCACTTTTTGGTCGCCGGTAGCGACTTTACACATTGTCGACTCCCGGGCACTTCTTTGGCACCGTATTTTGAAATTCGCCAATGTTACATTCGCCAAGTCGGGTTTCAAATTTTCTCGCGAAAATCTTCGAATATTAATTCGCGCATGTTTCACTTGCGACATACGATTTAAAAAACGCATGAGTGAACATGAGGTGTGAATAAATTTAGCTGCTTTAAAA